CCCCCCCCCCACTTCCACGATGGATTTCTAAATGTTAGAATAAGTCCACAGTATAACAATGACAAAAACAAATTAACTTTAGGTTCGGGGGTAAATGTATTTAAGAACTGTAACAACCTATAGTTATTTTTACATTAAATTTACCCTATTACTTTATTTATAAGTTTCCTTTCCTTGTCTTCAAAGCTGCAAATCTGTCAATTTCTTAATCAAAATCAATAACCTTCACCTTATCACGTTAAATTGATAGTAGTAAGTAGAGTCAGATCAGAAACCCTTTACCGTCCAATGGTGGATCGTAAATAGTTCTCCTGCAATTCTGTTCTTCAGCCTTCATCTTCTCTTTACCGAAATTTCATATTGTTCTCATTTTAAAAGTGCCTTTTCAAAAGCATGCTTCAACCAAGACAGCACTTCTCGTGCAGAAACAATCTTAAGGCCTCTAGGCCTAGCCTAGGTTGGTCACCACTTTGTCAATAGTAAAGCCTTAATAAGTCTGCAGATACTGTTGTGTAAGGTTAACTTCCCAGTAGATCAGCCCAAAGGTAAAGTTGGCTGATAAACGTGGAATCACAGACAGCATGTAAAAGGCCATCATGTGCTGTATGAAAATAGTGCTCAAAGGTTCAAGTCAAGGGGCGGTGCTAGTGATGAATCGATGAAATATTTATTTTTTGAGTATTTCTGGGTTATAAATTTAAACTAATTATTAAAAGATATTAGAAAATTTTGTAAAAGATTATTTTGTTAACCATATAAATGGGTAAAAAGTCATTTTAATGTTTTTAATTTTTACCAATTCGATTAATGTACTTAGAATCGCCCGACCACATCGTATTTGGTATCAATGGAAAGCTTTATTTCTCAGAATTTAGATAAATATAACTTCCTGTCACTAGTGTCACTTAAGAGAGTTACCGAACATTTCAATCCGCGTTGAATCATAAAGGACGCATTTAGATCGGTTTTATTTTATGCATGGAAAAAAATTACGTGTGATCGGTGACTGTGTTATGAAATTTGGTTCGACCGAGCAGTGTGAGCTCTGTAAATATGCATTTTTTTCAATTTGGCGTCAATCCTGAGATGGTGTCACCCGGAGCGGTTCGCACCCCGCCCCCTTTTTTTTTTTTGCGGGGTATCCAATGTTTGATGGCAGTGGTTCTAAATTCCTTTAAAATGTTGTGTCACTTCTAAAAAAATGAATGAATACCATGAGCATTTTTTAAACTTTTTAAAATATTTTTTTATTATTATTTTTTTTTTTTTGCTATTGACTTACTTCGTGCTGCAATGGATATCTGTAGACATTTTATATCTATGTGTACCACCAGGGATACATATTATAACAAAGTTTAATAAGCACAGTTTTTGTTGAAGCTATTGCTTTGAAGAGTTTCTTGACGGGGGATATTAATGAATGAATAGTTTAGACTTACTAAGTCTTAGTCTTGTCACTTGAGACTGCGCTGTGCAGCACCGGCCTTATTGTAGCGCCACAGGCAAATTTTCAGGTTGATATTAACTTAATAATCTAAAAAGGGGCGCGAGAAGAAAGAAGATAAAATTCCTAAAATTAAATTTCTCATTCTTCTAAGTATAAACAATAAAACAAACGTAGCCTATTAATTTTATTTTAAATTAAAATTGTAGATTAAAAACTAATCTGTTTGAAATTAAACTTGCTTTTATTGCAAAGAGGTAACACTAACAAGTAAAAATACCAGCTTCCATCATACAGTTACTATGCAATTTTTAAAATTCTAATTGGCATAGCTAGTATACTATT